AAAAAGAAACGTGAGACTTTACAAATCCAACTAATAATTGCACAAAAAGCCAACAAAAAGGAGACCTAAAGAGGTACAATTATTGTAAGTGAATGTTGTGTCACCGTTTTTGCCTAACCTTTTGTTGTGAATCTAGTACATAGGTTAAATGTTACTAGTACAATTTTAAATATAATAAAGAGTTGAAAATAATTTGAACGAGTCTTGAATCCTTGATCTAGATTCTAGTGGAAGACTTTAAAGTTAATCTTTAATGGAAACTACTAAGATCAAGGAAGACTCATAAGATATGTACTAGCTCCATCCATTTTTAATTGTTATAGTTTCTTTTTTTAGAGTCAAATTATAAAAATTTTGATTAATATTTTACGATGTAATTTTTCATCATATTGATATGCAAAAAATTATAATTTATATACTTTTCGTATAGTTTTTGAATATCTAATTTTTTTGTTTAAAATATCGAATTAATGTAATCTAATTTAACTTTGAAAATTAGTCAAACTAACTTTCGAAAAGCACAACATGACAAATAAAAGTGGAGGGAGGGAGTATTACATAAAAGGTTTAAGTTTGCCCTTTTTTTATTTATTGGATTATAATTTTATTTAACGTTGATTTTTGTTGGGGTTGAATTTTTAATGACATTTTTTACCATTTTTCTCGAAAAATATAGGTAGAGACGGTTCATATTAGGTGACCTTAATATCTTTAACTCTTTTAATATTTCAAATATTCTCTTATATAATAAGAAAGAGTTCCTAAAGCAGACACGTCTTCGTTAATGTGCCTCCTTCAGCGTGTTTCAGAAAAAAATTAATTTTTTTTGTTCTACTTTAATTTAATTAGTGTATAATATTTTTGAAATTATGAGATCCGTTTTAGATATTAGTTTTAGTTTTAAATTCATATTCTTTAGTTATAGTTTTATTATTTTGAATGTCGGTAATATTTGTTTATATCTTGTAACTACTTTGAGTAAAAATTCAACGATCGATGATGAAAAATACTTTAATTATGAATATCTTAATAGACCTCTATACATTAAATTTGTACAAACAAAATATAATTAACAACTTAAAATATTTAAAAATCATATTAAACTTTAATTAACTTTCTAAATTCTATGCATATCACATAAATTAAAATAAAAAAATAAAAAATATTGGACATGTGCTAACACATGCACCTATATCTAGTATATATATATTGATAAGAGAGAAAGATTGAACCTACGTCAACTCCAAAAATTCTTACACATTAAGCTGGTCTTGTTTCAATTTAATTTACCAAAACCTAGAAGGACTAAATATGATTAATTAATCTTACAGAAAACACATTAATTGATATCCTGTGAAGCAACTTCGTTACGACAAATTGCCAGAGCACACAAACAACAATACACAGTTGGGTTCTGCTGCATGAAATTTGGCACTTTATCTTGTCACCGTCGTGCAGCGATCTACAAATTATTCTCCGTGGATTTTCTTATTCAATACTCACTCAGTCTCTAATTACTTGTCTGATTTTTATTTTTATTTTTACTTGTTTTTTTTTAACTTGTCTATTTTGACAAATCAAGAAAAAATAATTTTTTTTACCTATTATACCCTCAATTAATTAATTTTGAAAAAATGTAGAACTTGAAAATCTTAAAATTTTAATTCATCCATTTCATAATTAATAGGAATAAAATGATAAACTCACTATATCTAATAATTGTTTTCTCAATAGATGTGTCAATTCAAAAGTAAACAAATAATTAGGAACAGAGAGAGTATTAACTCAAATACTCAATACATATTTTAAAGGAATGGTATATAGAATAATAATTTTACAAATTATCCTTTAAATATAATAAATTTAATGTTTTACTATAGTTGGTAATAAAAGTAAATTATTATTTTTTAAACTGAATAAATAAAAATAGACCCATAGTGCTTCACTATTATTGGACATAATTTTATCTTCATTTGAACGTTGAAAAATATTTGGATTATCCAATGCACGAGCGCCTCCAACTTATTTGCCAATAAACACCATTTTATTATATTATATCATACATCATATAGCAGCCAGTCTAGATTTTGGATCCTACACTAGCTAGTTCTCACTAATTTTATCATAATATGACATGTCACATGTGTATTGCTTACTTGCAGTATTAAATATATATGTAGTTTTTTTTCATTACGATGGTAAAAAATTAAAGAGCTCCATTTAATAGCTTCTATGAATATACATTAGGTTGCACAAAAAAGTCATTTTTGGATCAATTCAAAGCCCAAAAAGGTTTTTAAAAGGTCTGTTGAGCGCCTCAAGGCTATGTCATAATAGATCCGAACACTTGCTCCGGATCGACTTCCAGATCATAATTGCTCTAGTAAATAACTAAAGAAAATAGATAGATAGATAAAAAGGAGATAGAAAAATAGAAGAGAAACGAACTAATTATAGAAATATCTCTCTATCTCTAAGGTTCACTAATTATTTGACTGTTGGCGGGTCTCTTTGTATGTGTTGTCCAGAAAGAGGAGGACTCAATGATTATTCGTTTGCCGGATTGCTCCCATTGGACCATTTGTATCTATATGCATCAGGATCCCGATTCATGGACCTCTCGGTTCGAGAAATCAAAATAAGAGGCTCGAACCATTTCTTCTGACTCTTTTTCAAATTCGATAAATATTGGTTGATCGTATATTTCATTATAGTTCTATGATTCAAAGTATCCTTTCCTATTTGATCCCTTTGAATTCCATATTCGAAGTTGCGATCGGATCTATTCATTAAAAAGAATCGATTCAATACATTTCTTATGTACCCATAGGTACTATATTGGATTTGAATCAGATTTCGGATCAATCTATATTGAGTGACTGCCTAAATTATGTTATTGCTAGCAAATACCACTATTTTTGGTTTTGGATCTTCCAAATCATTCCCGCAGGAGATCCTGACCCATTTTTTTCTGATCCTTCGAGAAAAAGATTCATTCTCTTCATAAAAAATAGATGGGAAAACAGAACCTCCCACCATGTACAAAATAAATTTTGTAGCTGAGTACAGACGTTTCTTTCCTCCCCACATGGCTAGAATTAGATAAACATGAATTAATTCTAACTCCCACATGATGAAAAAAAGTAAAAGGTCCCGAGACGAAAATGATCCAATTTGACCACTGTACATTGCTAACATGAGAAAATGGAATAATCTAGAATCTCGAGTAATTGGCCAAGCCGCTAAAGTCGCTAAAGTAGTGATAAATCCTGTTAATAAAATGGGTCCTATAGAAAGTCCATCTATTCCTAATCTCCAATGGAAATAAAAAAAATCGATCCATTTATATTAATCCTCTACTAGTTGGATTAATGGATCATCCGATTGGAAATGATAACAAAATGCATAAGTTGTTAGAAGGAGTTCTAAAATACATATACATATCGTATATCACCTAAATACCGTATTTCCTTTATGGGGAAGAAAGAAAATTAAAGAACCCACAAATATAGGAAAAATGACAATTATTGTTAACCAAGGAAAATAATTCGTAGTAAAGACAAGATACACTTGGACCAAAAAAACCCGTGCTCAAAATATTTTTATTTTCGAGCACAGGTTTATCGGTAAAAAAATTAAATGGATTCAAGTAACCAATAGTAGTTAGGTTCCTCGAAGGTAAGGTAACTTTTTTATTGTATATAACTTACTAATTACAACTATAATTAATTAGTTGTAATGCTTTTCTTTTTTGTTATTGAAGAAATAGGTTCAGGTGCAGATATAGTTCAAATAATTACTTTCCTTGCACTAGCACATTGCAATTTTCACCTTCAAAATCGAATATATAAGTAATTAATATTGGATAACGTCAATGTACATGTCGATGACAAGCCTCGGGTGATTAATCAAAATAGGTCTGATTGGAGTCATGATCAAACATGACGTCTACTTGATGAACTTTATTATAAAACAACAGTGCCCTTACAATTATACCATAACTTTTGGCATGATAATAAATATTTCATCCTAATTACAATTAAGCGTATCAGAACCAAGATCATGAGCCCAATCACAAGGAACAACATGTTGTATATTGCAAATGTTGAGTGGGTGGGGTGGACTGTAGTGTAAAACTAACATTCTGTCTATGATAAAGCTCATGTGATGGGTTGGAGATGGCCAGCATCGGAGTTATGATCGAACATGAATGCTTTCAATAGTGATTTATGAAGATGCAGATAAAGGTGAGAAGTCACAATCATTTTAATCAATTATGCCATCAATATGGAGTGTGAATTAAACATGTCAACGTATTTTAATATGCACATATTGCCTGTTCAATAAGCTTGAATCCCAATATAAAGTCAATGGAGGTCCAAATTTCCTATGCTGACCAATAACATGGAACATTTCAAAGTAAGCCAAATAGAATTAAGGAAGTCACCTTGCAACTCTGCCACTCAAAAGTAGGCCTGGTCAACTAATGAATTTGCTTAAAAGTTGCATGAAAAATTCCACGAATCTATGAATTTGCTTAAAAGTTACTACATGTAATCACTTTCTTCGTGGTAAAATGTATCTCCATGCAGAGTTGAACAAATATTGTTCCACTCAATAATAAGTGTGTAGATTAATTTAACATCAAAGTCTATTTTAATATAAGAAAAAGTGATAATTTACTTACGTAAATGAAATTCGCAAAAATGATAATAACTTAAGTCTGATTTTGATCGTTAACTCTATCAAATATTATTCCACACGACAAGCATGTAGACTAACTCAACTAAATGTGTTTTGATAAGAAGAAAGTGATAACACATAGTAAAGATATGAAATTCGTTAAAAGATAGGAGTAATAATTTAGATGTGATTTTGACTATTAATATTATCTGAAAAACTACAAGCATTTGAGATTTGGGCGAGAAGGTTAACAAGAATTTGTACAAACAATTCCTTTCAAACCAGTTATAACATAAACTAAACCACAGTTCATCACTACTAGTGCCTCCACCTCAGCTCTCCACGGCTGTTTCCACCACCGCCCGTGGCGGCGATTCTTGATTTAACGTTCTCAAATTCGGATACCCGACACGGTATTTGGATCCCACCCGAATGATTATACCCATAAACCATCTCTGCATCCTTCAACAATTCAGCAAACAGAGGATGATTAAAGTAAATCACAGGCACCATTATTCTACACGTGTCATCTTTCTTCTCACCCACGTACACAGCTATATGCCCCTTCGGTACACTCACCTGCTTTGGAACAATCGGTTCTTGCCCGACCCGGATGTAACCCAAATTGGGTCTCCCAAAACAGAGTCCTTTTGTACTCTGTTTCAGCAAATGTCCCAATTTACAGAGGTTTGAAATTGCTCTGCTGAAAAATCTTCCTTTTCTTCTCCGGTGAAGTAAAACTCTTACTAGCAATTTCTTCATAACTCAAAATTTGCAAAAAATACGAAAAAATAAGAAGAAGATTTAGGTTCTTGCTATGAAAATCTGAATTGTTAATCGGTTATGTTATTATAGAGAGATTCTTGTAGTGTTGTAAATGAAGAATGAGTTTTTTTTCCTTTTAGTAGTGTGAAAAAGCTGCTTTTATGAGAGCCAGTTGTAGCAAATCAAAAAAGGGAAATGGTCGGCACACGCGATGAGAAGTAATCAACACTTATTGGACTTTGACATTTATTTAGTGAGACCTGATTTGATCGGTGAGATAAGGATAATAATTTCAAAATATTTTATGAAACTATTTACATGAAAATATTAATGTAATGTCGTTTGACTTGAATGTCGGTTATAAAATAAGAAAAAGATTTTCAATATTTGTGGTTTAGAACAAATAATGAATGTTTGTATTGCTATAATATTCTAGTTAAAGTTAAATTATTAATAATGTGAAAATATGTCATTTTAAAAATAGATTAAAAAGAAAATTGTATTACATAATAAAATTGAGGGAGTATTTAGTTTTAGAATTATTCTATTTTACTATGTTAGTATAAATGGTGGGATGGGAGCTATAAGAAACTATAATCAGAAGTGAGGTTGAGGTATGTAAGCATAAAATATCATCTTAATTTATTTTTTTTACATAATCTAGACAAATATAATGAAAGGCGAAGGCTATGGTGATAAGGTGAAAATGAGGTGTATCAGCCGCCAGCGAGGACACAATCAATATTAATTGATACTTGTATATAAAAGTTCCTTATTAAGATTATATCTATTATCGAGAATATAATAAATAAATAAAAATTGTCATTTTTTTATTGTCAAAAAAGTGACAAATAAAAAAGAAAAATTAAACAAATAAAGAGGGATTGAGAGAGTAACAATTAGGTATCCTTCAATTTTTCTCAATAGAGTGCTAGATGGTTGCCACTTGGACAATAAAAATCTAAAGGTTTTGATTTATTTTACCTCTAAACAGTTGACTGTTAACCGTAGTTAAGATATGGACCAATTGATCATTAATTATATCTAAAATAGTAGATTAGTAGAAAATAAGATTATTTATTCTATGTGATGACGACGATGTAATTAATCAGCTAGGAAGTTGGAGTCCGGAGCCTAAAGGCAAAAAAAATTGTCAAAAATTTCAAAAGGGCACATCACTTTTTAGTCTAGCCAAAAGGGCAAAATCGCTGCGTCAGCAGTGATTTTCCTCTGACAAAATGATGAAATAGCACCGATTTCGTCTAAATTTTTTTAATTAAAAATCGCTGCCACAGCAGCAATTTTGAAGAAAAAAAGTTTTTTTCTTTTGAGAAAATATGCAGCGATTTTTATTTTTGTTTTGTCATAAGCCCTTTTGGTTAATTTTTTTTTTGATGTGCCATTTTAGTTTTTTTAAAGAAAAAGTAGCGATCTTTAATTTAAAAAAATTACAAAATCGCTGCTGTAATAAAAAATATTACAAAAGCCCTGTGGCAGCGATTTTTAATAAAAAATAATTTATTTATTTATTTTTACAAAACAGCAGCGATTTTTAATAATTTTTTTTTACAAAATCGCTGCTGTGGCAGCGATTTTTAATTAAAAAAAATAAAAAAATTTTTTTAGACGAAATCGCTATTATTTCGTCAGAGGAAAATCGGTGCGTTGCCCTTTTGGCTAGAATAAAAAGTGATGTGCCCTTTTGGAATTTTTGACAATTTTTTTTGCCCTTTAGGCTCCGGACTCTAGGAAGTTGCATGTGTGTCGTACGTGTTTGTTCACTAAGTTGTGATTAGTAATATGATTAATTATTAAGCTGGTCATCCTTGTCTTCATTTACCCAAACCCAGATAGATTATGAATCTTAATCTTATTTTTTTAAATTATTGATGCCCTATTAAGCAAACTTCATTACGACAACTTGTCTTTCCAATACCATGCAGCCATCTGGAATCTTCAGTCATTGCACACAATTTTGTCTTTATTAAACATTGTGGATTATTGTACTAATATCCATCCAAAACACGAGAGATTCTGACTTATTTCTGGTCTTCTCCGTCTTAATTTATGTCACAATTTTTAACTTGATATAAAGTCTAAAAAAGAAAATGCATGTTGACCTGTCCACGTACGATTTTTTTCAATTAATCCTCGTCTAATTGACTATCAAAATATATAAAATGCCTGTTGTGTACTGTTAATTTTGTGATAACTCAAACGTTGATTCCTCGAAAGGTAATTGTTTATGATAAGATTTACACTAATTAAGTAGGGATGTTTAGCGACAAATAAACAACTTGTATATAGCTGGAGATATGGAGTGTAACAAATGATATACATTAGTTTATTTATGACTTTATGGTACATTCGTGTGCAAATGGCTTGGTAACCATTAATTATGTGATGTACTTGTTCTCAACTTATCTGAAAAGAATGATAATATTTCATATTCAGGATTAGTTTATTCTAAATTTCTCATTTTACCTTTAGGTCATTACGTGCGTTTGGTATGGCAAAAAATAATTCCATAAAAAATGAATGTAAGCTAAAAGTATTACTTTAATTGCGGCGATTGGGATAGGAGTGAAAATAAAACTTGTTGAATGATAAGGAGAACATAATTAATATAGAATGTATTTGTGGTACTTTTATTCTCTACTTTCATAGTTTCATTATGAAAGTCATTTTTTCTCATTTTAAAAAACTTGTTTTCTAGAAATCAACCAACATGATATTTTCCAACCTAATGAATACACCCCTAATAAGATGATCTATCACCATTCACATTCAAACATAACTTATTTCTGACCACAAGTTTCAAAGAATTTTTTTTAAAACTCCTTAATTCCTCATGCAACACACATTATATAAAATTGAGATAAAACGAGTACAAGTTACACAATCAGGTCACCTAATTAAAGGTCATAATTGCAGTCTCTATTTAATACTTAATAGTACTGATTGATAACCTAATTAAAATAGGTATAATATGCTATAACATGTTAAATTACACTACGTAAAAGAGTCATTGCATGCATAAATCATCTCAAAATACTCCTCTTATTGCCCATTGCTAAGTTGCAATTCCAATTGATTAATAGATCAACCACAACTCAGCCATGCTTACCCCTTCAGCTCCGCTCTCCACAGCAGTTCCCACCACCGACCGTGGCGGCAATTTTTGATTTAACGTTCTCGAATTCGGATATCCGACAGGGTATTTGGATCCGACCCGGGTAATTATACCCATAAACCATCTCTGCCTCCCTCAACAATTCAGTAAACAGTGGGTGATTAAAGTATATCACTGGCACCACAATTCTACACGTGTCATCCTCCTGCTCTCCCACGTACACAGCCAAATGTCCCTTCGGTACACTCACTTTCTTGTTCGGTTCTTGCCCGACCCGGAAGCAACCCGAATTGTTTTTCCCAAAACAAAGTACTCGTTTTGCTCCTTGTTTTAGAAATTGTACACATTTGTGCAGCTTCGAACCTCTCACTTTCTTCATAGCTCAAATTATTATTTTTCTCACAAAACTATTAAGTGATTACTGGCTAGGTGCTTTTATGAGTGATGTGGCAAGTGATCAAATAATATATCTATATAGAGTGAGTAGAAGAATATATTCTACTACTATATATATATATATATATATATATAAATATAAGAGACTATAACATGTGCTCTTGAACGACATATCTGTTTGAGCTATGTGTTTATAGATAACCTGTTGGAAGTGTGTGCATGCGCCCCACTTAATGTCATTTCAATTTATTTGTGTTACTTTTCTTAAAATTTATTAAAACAATAATTAACAACTTAAAATATTCGATTATATATTTAAAAATTACGTAAATAACACTATAAATCACATATAAAAAGTTGATTTGGCTCTCTAAATTCTACCTGTATGAGACAAAAAAAACATATACGTGGTATACATATAGTTGGTATGTGGATATACATGTATACAGAGAATGTGGGAAATGGTCGGCACATACGATAGAAATGAGCAGAATTTGTTGGAGAAATAGTAAATATATTGAATTGAGGGACAAGGAAGAAGGGTGCTGAATAGACGCTATGATCCTTCACTACTAAATTCCATGAAAAAAAAGCTAAAAAGAACACAAGTTTCGAGTAATATTATTTTCACGTTTCATTTCAATTTATTTGTCTGATTTTTACTTGATGTGGAGTTTAAAAGAGTGAAAGCAAGACTTTAAACTCTCGTGTTATTAAATTAAAGATACATAAAATATACCATTGTCCATCTTTTAATCTTGTGTTCTTAAATATGTCAACAAACTCAAAAAAAAGAAGAAGAGGAATTGAAATAAAGAAAGTATATATAATTGTTTCAACTTCATAAATGGCTTGCACTATCAAAAACACTATTCGATTTGATCCGAGTCCATGAATATTAGTTCAATTAGAAGTGTATTGTTGATTATTGATCCGTTTATCTTATTCTTATCCCATCAATCGAACAATCCTAATATAACTAAAAGAAAGTGGACATGATATAGAAGATCAGTAATTTTTTTGGATAACGTAACTGAAGTGATGACTAAAGAGTTCAATTTTTTTTTTGGTCCAAGTACAATTATTGATAGATAGATTATGAATTTTTTTTAAAGAAAAAACATGATCGGTGTACTATATAATTACGACAAATTGCCAGTTTGCACACGAGCTAAAGCAGTTTTGCCACCACCAAGCAGCCATCTGAAATCTTCACTGTCAATAATCCAAATATTTTTATCATTATTTCAAGAATTAAGGAACATTTGAATATTTTATTTTCCAACACACGAATGCTCTTTTACTAATTTGCCAATAAACAATACTCCTATTGTTGTATAAGTCAGTTTAATTTAGATTTTGGATTCAAGTAATGTTCACAAACTTTAAGCTAATACGTGTACAATTAACAATTAAATCCACCTAATTAATGTTTCTCCATGATAACTCTTACCTAGGTTCCACGAAGGTAACTTAATTGATTATAATTAACAAGATTAATTACGTTGTTTAGTGACAACCCCGTTTCCATTAGGCGACAAAAACAAC